TAAAAAGAAAATTAAACAAAAGGCAGCAAACAAAAAACGGCGTCATAATGAAAATCCATTTCAAAGAGCGTCACATAAAAACACCATTCGCCACCTTAAAATGAATTTAAGGATATGCTCATAGACCATACGCAAAGGACGAAGGAGTCGGGGAGCGTTTGTGTTTATGCTGTGCTTAATTCAAATAAAATTGCTCGCTTTTTGCCATTTGTACTGCTGCCATTGTGTGTCACGAGAAATACCAACATTTGCTTGTTCACAAATAATAATAAAGTCAGGACCCAACCCAGGCCGACCCAAGTAACCCCAAAAACAGCCTAACAAAGTGCTATAATTTACCTGGCTTTGCATTGTTTTCTTGCTGGTTAAAGCCTTCTCCCAGGTGCATAATTTACAGGCAGTTTTTCCAAGCGACAACTTTTATTTGGTGGGCGTCAACTTGGCCAGAAACTGTTCCAAATATTCTTCATATGTTTGATGTGAAAGTGCAAAGGGAAAGTTGTACAAAAACAACCCAAGTGGCAGTTTTTGTTGCCAAAATATCCAGACATATGCATTATCTACTTGGCGACACGTATTTGTGTGTGTGTGTATTAATGTGTGTATATGTCAGTCTCTAATGACCAGATCCCAACAACTGACCAGTCAACAGTCAGCAGACCCTTTTCCCTAAAGCATTTCTCTGTAGCATTCCCCAGGGCCTCATGTTTGTCCAGTTTGCCCAGCTCGATGTAGTTTGACGACTGACACTGATGCATACTCGTAATCATTTTAATTGGTCCGTATTCGACGTATATTCTGAGATCTGACCAGATAAGGTAATGGTAATTGATTAGACCATAACATAAGTCCTAAGCATGCACAGACTAATTAAACTCTACAACCGACATAGATTTAAGATAGGAAATGATTCCAATTACCATAAACATTCTAAGTAACATTAAGATATTTGAATACTCTCTTGTAACATTCATAAAAAGTTGGTTATTAATAATAATCAGAAAAGTAACATTAACATTAACATAAATATAATATTCAATTTAGAAAAAGAAAACAATGTAAATTTACTTTATAGTAAAAATCAATTTTTAAACTCATATAATATGTAATATAAATTTGTTGAATAATGAAGTCTGATCCTAGAAAGCGGTTATGAAAAATTACATAAAAGTATAATATACATTGCCAACCTAAACGTAACTAAAGACAAACTTGGCAGCAGTTTTTAATTATTGTGAAACCTTAGGAAATTCGATCGAAGCAATGAACATAACTTACTTATACAACAGATCCTGATGTGTGTATAACACATACATACACATATATTTATATGAAATAAAAGTATTTACTGTTCGAAATGCCAACATGAACATTGCCTCAGGGTTGGTGGAGGTAACAGAAAATAAATACACCCATGTTAAATGGAACAAATGCAGTGAAATCATTCGTCAGGCCAGACACCGAAGGGGGGTGGGCCAGACTGCCAGAGGACACTGTGCCACATTGAGTCGAGGTGGGACAGCTGCGGGGCCTGATGGTGGTGGTTAATAACACAAAACATGTTGCGAAATGTTTGAGAAATGTTGGCGAACCGAGAACTGCACTTTGATGGCGTCATAAACTTAGCAAAACAAAAATGAGAGCAGCCAGCGACAGGAGGCACTAACAAGGATAACCAAGGATAACAAGTACACACGTATCGCGTACATAATAAACTCAACATTAATGATTTGTTAGCGAGAAAAATGAAAACATGTTGGGAAAGTACGCGATGACAGTGCAAACAAACAAAAAGAACATATATATATATACTGAAAACTGTGCTTACCTGCAGCTAGCAGGTAGATAAATAACCCAGCAAAGGCTTTGGGTGTGAAAAATAGAACAGGGCAACACCAAAAAAACATTGGCCAAAAATGAAGTGATGATTTCGAAAGAAAGAGAGAGGCACTGTGAGAGTGAAAAAGAGGGAAAGAGAAAGCCGGCTAATGAGTATCGAGCTGGTTGTGATTCAGCTCGTGCTGTCGCTAATCTTATCAGCACGTTCGTTGTCACTTAACGTATGTCTGTGTGTGTGTGTGCGGGCCAGGCCTAAAAGTTGATTGAGGCATGCGTTGTTCGCGTTGCGTTTGCGTGCCTCACACGGAGTCATCAACTGTGCTGCAGCGGGGCATAGGGGCTGCTGTAGGGACGAAGACAACACCTTGACAGTAACATGATCAGCTGCCTTTTTGGATTCAGCTGCCAGGAGCCACAGATTTAACGAGATTTTTGATTTTGGCCATTGTTCCGCGTGAAATTTGGCCAGACCATCAGCTGCTTGCAGGCTGCGGCTGAGTCAGTTAATAGCAGCAAACGGAAATGCTTTGTTATTCGTCATTTGATCAAGATATACGAGCTCTTATAGCTGTTAAAGTGGCCCATTATACTCAATGAAATTATTTTCATTTAGTAACTAAACATTTCTTGCTATTATCAAAATTTTATGACGATTTTGTTATTGGTTAAATGACATACTCTACTTTTTTTTAGATAGTGATCATGTGATCTACTTTTCCGATTTTTGATCATATTTCTAAATTCAGAAATAGTTTTGTTTATGTTGTTTGATTCGTTTTTAGTTACATTTAATTTATTAAGCTGTGCAGTTTACCCTATTATCATAATGATATCGTATTAGTGTGAAGGAATTCTATGACGATTCTTTTTTTTTTTTTTTTTGCAAAAATGACATACTCAACTTGTTTGCGATAGTAGTAGATAGCAATCTAATTGTACTACTTTTTCGATCAATAATCACATGTCTAAATGTACTTTTTTTATGTTACCATTTTCATTGTATTTTTAATCGTTTATTTATTAAAAAGTGACCCAATATACAAAGCAAAAGATTTAAGTTAAAAGTTGTCTCTATTTCAATTAAAGTATTGAATAGAAAGCAGCGACTTCTACTCTAATTATTCGGTTCGTATACAAAACGACCTTTTCAGTTCTTCTATAAGCAACTTCTACAGTGACCAAGAAGCTGTGAATTATTTCACCATTTTTCGCTTTCATTTCAATGGCGAATTGTTCTTGTTGTTTGAATGCTGAGCTACCTGCTGTCTGTCTACTACCCTCTTGACCTGTCTCTGCAACCGTTTTTTTTTCTTGTTTTTCAATTTCTAGCTGCTTTTGTTTTCATCTACTGCAATTTGTCACTTTTCGCACTTAGCTTGTCCTTTTACTGTTGTCCTGTACGTCCTGTTTGTGAGTTTCGCGACAGTTGAAACCAATGACATATTAAAAATGTTTGCCGTTGACATCGCAGTGGAATTTTGTGTAATTGTGCACCTACGGCTGCAGGTGAGAAATGGCCAAAACATTCGAAATTAAATTCCAAACGAGCAGACACAGAACTTTAAGAATGGGTATTGGGTTTTGAGTTTTTAGGCAACGCAAGCAAAACCCAACTCACAAAACTTATCGCTAAATTAGCGTGCCAAAGTTCTTAGATTGCGACACTCCAAAAACAAACAAGTCTAAGAAAACAGATAGAGAAGAGTTGCGCGGGTGTGGGTTGCAGGTTCTGGGTTTTGGACTTTGGGTGGGGGGTGTGGCAAAACATGAGAAATGCTTTAGGGGAAAAAACAATTTTGCATGAAAAATGTGCGAGGCGCACAGACAAACAAACGAACGGCAATAAATTTTCGTGTGCCAGACAGGAAAAAGGAAGAAAACGGCAAGGAGAATAACGAGAAGCGAGAAACAGTCAAAAAGGGCTTTTTCTCTCTGTTGCTGGCCAGGATGTGGTTATTTCTTTGGTGTTTACGTATTTATTTTGGTTTAGTGCACCGCTTTTACTTTTACCCAAAACCACAGAAATCAAATAATTAGCGAGATAAGTTTGAAACAAAAGATATATACATGATATATTACTTTTCTAGACGTTTTTTTCTTGCGAACCTCACTTGGAGTATGATTAATTGAATTATTTGATTATTATTATTATCACAGTTGACAAAGTCGATCAAATTATACAAATGTGTACAAATTGTATACAAAAGATACTCAATAACAGCCCACAACCAAAGATTGTAGAGATATATCTCTATAGTATCTATAAACAACATAACAATTTCTATTTACTTATTAATAATTCCGATAACTGCAATAATATTTGTACTTTTTTGTGATATGAATCAGATCTTATATATCATAAGATAACTGTGCGAGTGTTGAATGTTGAAGTGGGAAACTTTATGGATGCACTTCTTGCACCACACTTCAAGTATTTACATTATTAATTGGTAATGAAATGAAAGCCAACAAAACATTCGACTGCATTCAACTTAAGTCATTTATTATAACTTAAAAATGTATAATATAAGCATTCATTATAGTCAAATAATCTAACGATTCCGATAAAGTGGGCTTCAAAGTTTTCTCAACAACTTTTATTACTTTTTTAATTAATAAAAAAAGCTTCAATCACATTTGTTTTAAATAAAAATTGTGAACTGTTTAAACTGGAAGCAGTATAAAATATTCAGAAAACAAGGAAAATCACAAAAAAGGTCTAAAAAAATGGACAAAAAATATACAAATAAAAAAAAGACAAAAATAAAAAGAAAAGAAGGCCAAAAGTTTACAAATACATTTAAGTCTCTTCAATATTTTTAAATTCTAATTAAGTCAATGTAAGCTAACATTAAACATAAGAAAAACTGGAAACTAGAAAAAAGAGAGAGAAAAAAACAAACAAACTTCAAGACTATCTACAAATCCCATCAATCTCAATCAAAATTCCTTAGCCAAGAACATATTCATCGATTTTTTATTTCAAAATCCAATAACCTTGAATCAAGTTTGCTGTTTTTCTTCCACTCATTTTAATGATATATATTTAATTAAGGACTAAAATTGTTAATTTGTTCATTTGCAATTTTGAGTAAATTTTTCTCAGTGTATGTGTTTTCTTTGATAGAAATATAAGATTTGATTGATGATTGTGTGCTCACCTTTTGTGCCTTGCAAGTGACATTGATGGACTGGACGTCGTGCTGCTGGTGTCGTTGTTCCACGATGCACTGGCCGCAGGCGGGCATCTTGCAGTTGAGGCAGTACTGGGAGAGGGTCTCCTCGTGCTCCCCGCACACCGATTCGCGCAGATGGGCGGCGCCACGTGGCTTCACCAGGGTGTGCTTGGCCAGGGGTCCGCGTGCCGGATGACAAAGCTCACGGCACTGATCGCAATAGCGAATCTCACACTGTTCACAGATCAGCGACGCGACTTTGGGATCCGTTTCGCACATCTGGCAGCGGAGTGCTTCGCGGGCACAGAACCGATCCACGATGGCCTCCATGGCGCGATAGGTGGGCAAATTGCGTACGCCGCCATCGTCAAAGAAGACCAGCTTGCGGCACAGCGGACACGTGAGACAATAAGCGGCGCCAGGTGGCGCCACCACGGCGCCCACAGCATGCATGCCAGGCAACTGTCCGGTGCCGGCATAGGAAACGGGTCGCGATGTATTCGAGCAGCAAACAACGCCCGAATCCGCCTCACTGAAGATGCTGACCTTGTCGGACTGATCCTGATCGGAGGTGACGCTCTCGCTGCCCGTTGCCGAGCTGGCCGTGCTTGCCGCCGAGCTGTGCGAGCTGTGACGTGTGCTCGGATGACCAGGACCAGGTCCAGATCCGGATCCTCTAGCAGCTGCCTCCACCGCCTGGCCACCATTCACAGGGGCGGAGGCGACTCCGCCATTGGCACCACCGTTAGCCGTACCATTGGTGGCATTTGTGGCTCCATTCAAGGCAGCAGCCCCTGGTGTGTATGGCGTCTGTATGTCGAGGGCACAGCCCAGGCACAGCGCATGGAAGCAAGGCAGCAGCACAGGATTCGCGTACAACTGCTTGCAGGTGGGACAACGTAATTCGTCCTCCATTATTATTAATCAGTAATTAATAATAATAATTATTACTTATTTTAGTATTTGTTCCTTTCACTTGGTTTTTCCCCTTTGTTCCAACTGGAAACTGCCTCTAAGATTTCAAATTTTAATTTGGGCACTCATTTTGCAACACTGTTTTTTTTTTTGTTATTTCTATGCACTTTCATTTGGCAAACAATTAACGTTATTTAACACTTGTCATTTGTTTGTCTTCGTTGTTTCTTGATCACAATTCGTAAATGTAAACTCGCGTTTGATTTTACGTTTCACGTCACTTCGTCAACCGCTCAATACGTCCGCTTGCTGTTTACGTTTGTCAAAGACTAAACTGGCAAACTTCCGTTAAATACGAATACATGCCATGCCACAGCATGTTGAACTGCCGCAGCTGTTGTAAAGACTTGTTCGTTCATCGCTTGCAACCGCAACTCTTAACGAAACTTAACGAAACGACTGCAGCGCAACAACAGCAACCACAAAAATTTCTTATCACTGCTGTGAATGTTTGTTAAATAGTTGTGGAAAGTATTGATAAAGAATAGTAAAAAAAAGTTATATATATTAAAATGTCTTCAGAAATAAGAACTAATAAAAAAGAAAGTAGTTATGTACATATTCATAAAAAAATATATGTATTTTTTCAAATAATTTAAAATTAAGAACAAGTTTTGATACTCATTGCGTTGTGCAGAATATAAATAAACTACTAATTATTTGTATTTATTATAATTATCACTGTTGCAATGAATTCTGTTAAGTTTAACATGTTCGTGTTCGATGATGTTGTGTGCTGCCTGCGAACGTGTTGCATGCGCAATGTTTACATTCCGTTATTGTTGTTGCTGCTGTTCTCATTGGTTGTTGATCGGGTTGCAAGCCAAATAAAATTAGAAATTCGTTTGAAATTTGAAATGTGCAATGTGATCGTGCCGGCTGGAAATGTTAACGCTGCATTTCTTTTTGTGTGCCACAGTCGACACTTGTATTGTGGGCCAAACTGCCCAGTGCCAGATAAAAGTGCGGCGCATTTATCACTCTCAAATGAGCGACGATAAGCAGCAAAAACAAAAAAAAACAAAGTCAATCAACGCGATAGATATCGATACGAATACAACAAATAAACATGTATGCGCTGCAGGTATGCAGTAAGTCCACAGGTAAACTGATAACGACTCAACGACCATATGGCAAACCAGAAGAGCCAAAGGTGTCACAAAACATCAACAACAACCGCAACAACAACAACAACAATAACATATATGATTAGAGCAAGCGCAACATTTGCTTGCCATCGCCTGCCGCGTTTATTTTGACAATAGCCTGCAAATGGCCAATGGACATCAAATGCCAGTGAAATACACTCAAAGCCCAAACACACACTGAGAGAAAACTGCCGACTAGTTTCCTAGGTTTTTCTTATCAATTGACAATTGTCGGCCAAGTTGCTCTTGAAATTATTTTCTTTCTTTCTTGTAATTTGATTTTTAAATGTAATTTTTTTTTCTCTTAGTCGACATTCAAAATAGTCTACATATTAATTTTGTTTGTAAATGGGAACTTGAGCCAAGTTTATTTTCAGCTCACATTAAAACTCAGACTTCAAAGAGGCTGAAAGTAAGTATTCAGTTTTTGAAAGGGACTTTCGCTCAACAAGACAACTATTTTAGTTTACGCTGCTTATTTTGCTCAGTGCACAGACAAACGAAACACAAGCCACGGCGACCTGCTCCAAATGAGAATCGATAGACTCGACAACAACAACAAAAACACATCAACGAAAAAAAAAAACGTGCGTAATCCGTTTGACTTAATAAGCCACGTTCTCAATTTGGGTTTCCTATTCAGATAGCTAGATACACAAATGGTGCTAGGGGAATTGACCAAGTGTTTTGACAGCTCACTCTATGCTGTGGCAAGAGCCAATGGACAAGGGGCAACGGCATCTACTGCCTCCATTTTCAGGTATATACGTGCTACCCCGTCCCCTTCGTTGCCTATGCAAATATTGACATGCAACGCATTCGTATGCGTAATTTGCCTCAATTTATTGTTCAGCAAATGTTTGCTTCAGTTTTTCCCCCATTTTCCACACACCTCGCATATAATAAATCATCGAATCGTATTATCAGCAGCGGCGCCTAATTTCTTGTATTTGTTCACGTATTGATTTTAACGGATTTTTATAAGGTATGCTATTATCTCTAAGCATAGACACAACATATGTATGTATTTGTCGTTTACTCATGCCACATACGGTTACAGGTAGAAACGTTGAGCCTAAGCCGAACAAATAGATACAAGTACATGATACATGACAAAGTGAAAAGAATACTTTCCTAAAATTCATAGAAGCAATACACTTAATCCAAAAATTCACGATCGAAATTCATCGGTAATTTTTTTCATTTATGAGCGAGTTTTTAAAGATTATAATTAATTTTGAGAATGGTAAAAAGCCTGGAAATTGTATAATTGAAAAATGTTTGTAAACAAAAATAGAGTGTATATATAAAAGTAAATATAACATATATGAATAAATAAATATGTGTTTAAATTGTATTTATATTACATTTTTGGTTATAATAATAATAAATCTGTGCAATATCAATGATATTTATTAATTTTAAATTTAAGCTTATTGATAACAATAGTTTTCTCAGACAATTTGACTTAATAAAATAATAAAAATTATTTATATCTTGTGTACCCGAATTTCTTACAATTCTGAACCTGTTGCAGCACTTTGTTGTCCATGCAATGCTTGTTTATGAAATATAATAAAATGAAACAAAATATTTCGCAAAGCAATTTCTCATTTTTTGAATACACTTAACGTGCTTTGTTGCACAAGGGTTAACCGAGGCAATAACTCACTTTTATATAGTTGAAAAATATTTTAAAAACTTTGAAGCCACTGTAAGACCACCAAAATCGGAGTAACACTTTCGCCACCATTCTACACGCATCTTCCCCCTTGACTTTGCCAGTTGAGTTTTGGCCCGCTTTAAGACCATATATCATGTCGTGTTACCAGTTGCCATGGCCAAGGACATTCACAATATGCGCGCATGCATAAAAACGCAATAATAACAGCCGAAATTCACACAACCACACACAGACACACAGACGGCCACCCCTTCATCTTGTAGAGCAATTCCAAAATGGCAGAAATACTTTGGTCACCGCGGGTGTGAAACGTTTCTCTTCTCTTTTTTACCCTTGCCTTCACTTTTTCAAAAGCAATAAAAAAAAAGGGAAACAAGTTTTTTTCGCCGTGCTTTTGGTTGTGGTTGTGTTAGAGAGTGTGTCTGTGTGTATGTGTAACTGACATGGACCCGTGCTCAGCAGCCAGCGGCAGTTTCATGCGTTTTGTCGTGTTGCATGTGGCAACTGTGGCTGCAGCGGACGCGACGTCCGCAAAATCCACCAACAAACAAAAGCATAAAAGCTCAACTATAATAACTAGACAGAGTATTACCAAAGATAAATGCATGACTAGCATAATACCCTTTAAGAAAATGAAGCTTAAAAAAAAAATAAAAAAATATTTAAAGCTCTAAATTTGAAATCTTAATCATCGTCTTTTAATTGTTGTTTATATTATATTTTTGATTTTTGTATTATGGCCAGTCAGATATCGATGTTGTGCAGAATTTAGATGGAATACTCAAAATATTAATTTGAAATATGCTAAAAAAAAAACAGGTTTTTTGCGTTTAATAAAATACAATTTTTAAAAATATATCTTAGAACAACATTAATTTTTTAAAAACATAAATCAACTATTTAAATTTTCGTTTCAAAATGCAGAATTAAGTCAGACTTTTGCACACTTCCAAAATGTATTTTAAGAAACATTTTTGATCCTTTTCTGAGTGTGTGAATTATTTTTCTAAATAAAAAAACATTTGCGATAAACTGATAGTTGTCAAAATGACAATTGTCCTGCAGCTATTTTATTATCAAAGCCTTGGTGCTTTTGCGAGCACACATGCCCCAAAGAAGCAGGGTATAATAGACGTGGCATGTGGGAGTTGGCTGTGTAAAAAGTTCAACAAAAAAAAATTTTTAAATGGAGTTGGCTTGTTTTTGTATACGAAAAGAAGCGCATTTAATAAAAAATACTCCTTTTTGGGCTCCAGGCGATGATGATGCTGCTGATGATGTTGATGTTGTTGTTGTGTGCTTGGCGAGCAGGATAACATCGCCAAATGAGATTAGGAAGGACATTCGCGTGTTTAACACACACACACACACACACACTCATACACACAGCTGCTGGAGCAGCGAGCAGTAGGATATCCTGACTGCCTGTTATGTCGAGTACAACCACAGGCGGTCCAATTGGGAAGCTGGCGCCAACTCTGGTCGTTCCCCTGGTCTGCGCTTCACTAGCTTCACTGTGGCTATGCTGTGCTCGTAAAGCAGCGGACGGGTGGAGGGGTGTAGATGTATAGGCGGACATCTGCTAATATTGGGCTGCAAGTTTAGCGCCTCTGTTGTCATTGCAGGAAGTTGCAACAGTTTGAGGCACTGTAATTGCTTTTTTGTTTGCTGCCGCGAGCCTTGGATTTTGGGTGGTTATGGGGGTAGGGGGAGGGTAAGCGGATGTTTTACCATGCAGCAAATTTTTAATTAGATTTTTTTTTTTTTGGTTTTTTGTAATTTTGTGAAGATTTTTTTGTTTGTAACTTCAGCCCGAGGTTTATTTTGTATTTGAGCAAATGACACTCGCGCTAAATTGGCATTTTTTTGTTGTTGTTGTTGTCAGTGGTTTTGGGCATTTTGATGGGTTTTTTAACGAGTTAAAATGGGCCTAAAGTCGATGTTATGAGCCATGACAAATTGCTGGGTGTTTATTTGGCTTGTAACTAAAACCAAAGCGAATATTTTCTTTTGTTGGCCTTGATTAGCTATAAAGTTGGAAAATAAAGCCAGAATAAATGTGCATTGAATGTAAAATTGACTAACTAAGAAAATTGATTGTGCAGTAAAAGTCTCAATCCAATATTTTTAAAAAGTCTAGTATCAAGCAAGACTACATTTCAGGTCAACAGATGTCAGCTATAAATTCTCAGATGTCAATTACTAATTGAAAATTTGTAGCATATTTTGCTGCTGTTTCTTTTTCTGTCTGAAGTATTCTCGATTTAATAAAAACAAAAAGCCAGAAAGCAAGAAGAGGAAGAGTGGTCAACATACAAGAACAGCATCATTTATAAATGCACTCGATAAATTATTTTCAAGAATTAACTCGGATTTCAGCCACATCAACAGCAGTCAGAAGCACAACCACGATGCACAGGTAAAATTCTACACACACACATTCCCACACACACACACACACACGTATCGCACATACTTCAGTAGTTGTCTGTGTGGTATTTATACAAAATTATTTTCGTTTACTTAGCCAAGCGAGTTTGCCATAGAAACTATTCGTAAGCATTCTGGCCAAGTTCTTTTTGTTGTAGTTTTTTTTTGCCACGCTTTTGTTTTCATTTTACCGTTATTATACTGTGTGTATTGGTATTGGTGTTAAGCACTTCCGCTTGACTGCCTGGCTGACATGCGTTGCACGTTGCACGTTGCCCCAACTATGCGTCCCAGCTGCAGCTTTCCTGCACCTTTTGGCTTCCGACATAATTCACACTCACCCACATACACACACACACACATATATATACATATATAAATATACATATATAGTATATATGTATATACAAACACAGCACAGCAGATGAGTTTGATTTTTCATTAAGTTTTTCAGCTGAAGCGCTCCCCATTTTTATACACTAGAACAATGATTATATTGATTTCTTCGTGATGTTTGTGATGCTTTCTTGATGAAACTTGAAATATATGTGTCATTTTACTGAACACAGTGAGTTTGTTGTATCGAATCACTATATCGTAAATCATCCATAAAAATCATAGGTCGAAAGATGAGTTCTGGTAGTAATTTATTTAGACATTCGCAACAAGCTCAACTGTGGTCGACAAGGGTATGTAATCTTCGTCGTGAATAAGATAACCGATTCTTCCATGTTTTTCTTATTTCGTTAGTTAAAATTATTTTCAATTAGCAGCCAACATCGACGTTTATGTACAGCATCCAAGCGCTGATACAGAGCAAGGCAGTCGATATATCTTCTCGCCATTCCCCACTGAGAGTTGAGAACTAATTCGATTTAATGGGGCTGCCTTAAATTTTGATCCTTCATTGTTTTTCCTTGTGTTTCGGTGGCGTGTATGTGTAGCATCTCATAATACTTACAAAGTATTTTTTGTGTATTTTTAAAATGAAATGTTAATGCACATCACACACTTTTTTTTTCAAATATCTTGACAAATATTTAAATATTAGTTGAATGGTATCAACTACCTGGTACCATAAGTAAACAGAATTGAAAACAGTGTGTGTTCTGAATATTACTTAAAAAAAGGTCTCAGATATTGTAATAAAACGAACCGCAAACTAGCAAAACTCGGGTTGTGAATGTCAGCCACATCCTCGAAATAATTGTGTTTTCAAGTACAAACAACTGCGAGGGTTAGGGAGAAACAAAGAAAAAACCAACGTAATTAAATGTTTTGCGGTCTGGCCATATGAGATGCGGGGTATTTGGTTGCATCCACTGCTGAGGCACAAACAAACAAAACATGTGCCACGCACTTTGGGGAGAGACCACAGAATGAAACCAGTTGCAATTATGAAATTTTAGATATTTCCGATGTACTCAAGCCGCATGTAAAACTCTGTGAAGCCTGCAGATGCTGCCACCCACAACTGCTACTCCCCGTCTCCTTCTACTCCTCCTCCTATCATATCCTTCTGCTCGAAGAGTCGGTTGGGCCAGCAAAACATGAGAGCAGTGTGCTTGATATGGGAATAGGGGAAATAAAGGACTCGACATGCTGGAGTGGTGGGAGGGGGAAGTGGAGCTTTTGTTTAGAGGGTGTTCGGTAGTCGAGCTGTAATTAAATTGTGTGCAAATCAAATTGCTCTTCTGATTATGAAATCAAATACTTTACTCGAACCACTCAAACAACAACTTTTTGGGTGATTTGTAGTTTGATTGAATACCGCTTACAAACAAAAAAATATGAATAGACAAAGAATGTGAGGGGATTTTTGATAAACTTAAGGGTGACTCATACAGTTAAGAATATTATTTGGCTCCTCACAATGTTGGTATTTATGAATATTTATAGATTAAATACTTTATTAATTTAATTCATTTTTATTGCAATCTAAAGAACTGGATTTATAAATTTAATGTGAAAAATTAATGCATCAAATATTTTTATAATTATCTGATTTATAAATATAGCCTATTTTATGGCGCAGGTTCAAAAATTAACAAAATAAATATTGAGCCACTTTTCAACCAAATACAGTACAGATGATGTTAAATAAATAAATAAATAATATATTAATAAAGTTATATACATAAATATAATTTATTCTATATCTCAGCACTAATTAATTCAGCACTTGTCCCGATATCGGCACAAAGCTCACACTCTTTATAAAACTGTTTTTGTACTTATAATCGGAACACTATCGAACAAAGAAAATTCCAAATTTTCTATTGTTTGCTGATGATATGACAAAAATGTTGTAGTTCTTGCTGTGCTCGCAAGCAAGCAAGTGGAAAACAATGTGAGATCGACAAAGCCTTAACCCTATTCGAAGCGAGCATGTCAGCACTTCAGCAAAGTCACAACAACAAAGAAAACCAGTGAGATTGGTACCGATGGAGGGTTATTGACTCGGCGATACCCCGTACTCAGACGGCAAACACCCCAAAATATAAGTAAGACTTGCAAAGAAAGCCTAAATATATTTAAGAAGGTGCACAAAGTATACACATATTTAGTGATATGCCAATGCAAATAGTTTTGGATTCGTATAGTTCCTTCTGTTACAAGCCACTGATCAATTGCCATACAACCCGTTGAATCATTTTCTTGGGTGTTTTGGTATAACAGAAAAAACTCAACTCAAACTTGCCCCATTCAAATGCAAATCCGAACGCAAATCTTCAAATGACTTCGATTGGTTGTTCCTAATTCTGGCTTCTGGTTGGGAAGCCGCCTTTGTTTGAGCACCGAATGTTGGTTAGTTGCCCGGGTGTCGCTTTTATCACTTGCTGTGCAGCAGGACATATCACCCGGCACTGCACCTCGCTCACTTCCACCACAGTCGAGAGCATCGAGAGCAGACACAGTCCATGCAAAAGGGCTCAAACAATGGTGACCAAAGGATTTTAACGAAGTTATTGCACAACAGATGTGTGGCATGCTTAAGTTGCTGTCAAAAGTTGCTGATGGACAGAAACTTATGAGAAAGTTGCTGCGAAACAAAACTCGATTTCCGCTTGGTCAAGTGACATGATTGATATGTCAGGGCCTACTGTTGTCTCTTGTCTAATTCCGCTTTTGGCCTTAATCCAATCCAAGTCCCTACACCACAATCTACACCAAACAAAAAACAACAAAAACAAAATACATAAGCAGCAATTTGAAAAGTTGGACAACGACATCAAGTAGCCGACACGTTGCAGCTTACCGCTGCTCGGAAAAGTGCACTTTTGTTACGAATGAAAAACTTGAAATTATTGTGAAACCGTTACAAAACGTTGCACATTGCCAAAAATATAAGAAAATTTTTCGACGTTAGAAATAGAATACTGATGAAAAATTACCAAGGTGGAAACGACGAAAAACATGTGTGTTGTTATAATTAAAGTTTTACTAAATTATAAATATCCACATGTGACAAAAAAAGATCTGAAAAGTAATTTTCATTACGCTTGTCTCTCTTAAGTGTAATAAAAATGTTGAAGTGTAAATGTCAAACACATTTTTCTCATTCTATGCCTAATTATCCATCCATTCATCCATTTTATTCATGATTTCACCTCAACATTAATCCGACATCTAAAATGAATACACAAAATGTTTGAAGCTTGAAATTGCCATAATTAAATAATTTCTTTAATTTATTGTGACAACCTGTTCTTCACCAGCGCAAGCATAAACCATAAAAATCCACCTGCAAATATATAAAAATTTAAAACAATGTGTTTTATTCCTTAATTTAAAGTTAGTACCAACAATTAAGAGTTTGGGGCAAATGAAAATAGCTTTGTTTAGTAGTATGGTCGAGCTGCAGACTGCAAGTGATTACGTTTGCATTTCTAAACTGACACTTTTATTTTCTTGTGGTTGCCCAGAAAACACAAGAGCACACAGAATACCAATGCAGTCTTGGAGTGTGAAATTTGTTGGCAGCTTTTGCATTTGTCAGTGGACGTTCTTTGCCTCAACACATCTCCATTTTGGCTCGGCGTCTGTCAGTGCCAGTATGAAAGCATTTTAATAAAATGTACTTTCAATAAATATGCCAAAGTTATAAAGACACTTTCCCCGAACACATACACACACTCACATTAGAGCACATACTCGTAATTCTGGGTAGCCGCAGGCTCTTGTCCATTTTAAATATTTAATCTGATTTTCCATTTCAATGCCTCGCTACCATTGAAAATTACAATAATTTTCTACAATGCACAATATATTTAGAAATAAGTTATATAAGTGCAGCCACAAACACATATATATTTGTTCACCCAAAATTTATTTGTTAAGTTAAGTGTCTGTTTTAAGTGGCTGCCTAATCACTTTAACTGGCGCTGTGCAAATATTTGCATTTATGCCACATTTAATTGCCCTCAGCCACTTGGACATGTTGTTAACGTATTTCCAAGTTATGGCAACTGAATTTGCAACGCTTTGAACATATTATAAGACCGAATAATTTAATTATTTAAGTTGCTTAATTTATGGTAGTTAACATCAAGATTTTGTATACCCTTAATGTTGTTTTCAAATTTGCAATGCATTGGAGGTAAAATAGTATATATTAAAGAATATTTATTCATGATCAGTCAGTAATCAGTTTAATTGCCATCTTGCAGAAACTTTGGGTTTGCTGACGGTATTAAAATTTGTATGCCAGCAGCTTAGTTCCACTCTAAAAGGGTATGTATTCTGCAAGATGCCTAAGATATTATATTTTTATATATTTTTGATTTGTCTAACATACAATTAAGTTAAATTTTGCAGTTGCTTCTATGTCGTATTATATATTGTCCAAAAACTTGTACAGCAGAGTTACATAATTTCATCATTTTACGGACTGAGATGTCTTCCAATAATGTACTTATTTTTAACAGTAACTTAAGAATTTAAAACAATCTTACAATTATTATTATTTTTTATTTATTTATTTATGTACATCTTCTAATTGAAATACTATTTCCAATTTTGTTTTCATTAAAGCTCTCCGTTTTCGACCCTTTTCATCACACTGAACATGCTGTCATAAAGCAATTTTCTCACATCAATCGCAACTAGAAAATCAATATGATTGAATTTTCTGTAGGTCAATAGCTCATCATGCACCACATTTGGCAACTCGTTGCGCAAGTGCTGCACATCCTTGACAGCGGCCAGCAGATCGTTTTTGCCATAATATAGAGCCACTTTGCAGTCGACGTTGCCCAACTTGTAGGCGGGTGGTTTAGCCGAGCCGTAAGCTCTCCGATTCTTAGCCACACTACGATAATTATACTTGAAGAAGCCGCCGCTGTTAATCTGCTGAGCATAGTGATCAAACGATTTGACAGAGCCACCAGCTGGAAAATGGCCAATATATATTTGAATAGTTGTGCTATTCAGCTGCCTGTAATCCACACCAGCAAGCTTCATTATAAGGAACGTACAGGATTTGTGAAGAATAACAGTACAGAGCTTATAAAACACTTTTTTCAACACTTTACTCTGCGGCGGAAACTCATAGATGCAAGAACGATAAGCCAGTCGCTGCAACAATTAGATAAATTAGTCGTTTATATATAATATGCAGTCAGTTTTTTTTTTTTTTTTTTGCCTTAAATTTTTAAAATTTTCACGAAAGAATATGTATATTTTAATAACTTTATAGTTACAATATTTATCGTAAAGAATATTGGTAGACTTTTTGATTTAATTTCATTTTTTTTCGAAGTGGACGACCCCTTCAATAATTTAAATAATATACTCCATTTATTTGCCTTACTTGTTGCTTGTTTAGAAAATTCAGTTAAATGAATAGATTTTAATGTATTTTTTTCTGCTAATCAAGAATAATTTACAAAGTTCAAATTACCACAATCTCTCCCATGTAAGGCGCAAAATATTTTCCCAATGACTGCTTCATATACGCAAAATAGGCAACTGGGGCAAGTCCTTGAAATAGTTTGATCTTCTTCATATACGCTGGTCGCTCGGAGCCCATCACAAAGAACGAGGTGGTGCCTTGGGAGTGACCGACGTAGTGCAGATTCCTATAGCCCCCACTTCGATTCAATATATAGTCAATGGTGGCGGGCAGATCATAAATGCCAATCTCATGGAACGAAAAGTCCCAGAACTGACGTTGACGAGGCTTATAATTGATATGCCTTCGCGAATAACGATTGCCACGTACGTTAAGCATCCAGACATCGTAGCCCCGATTACTGAGCAGATAGGCCAGTGCCTTATCTGGACCATTTACCAGCCAAGCCGCAGAGCTATCCTGCAATCCATGCACCAGTAGCACAGGCGGTCCCCCTCGTTTGGGTATACGATGAGCCGTCAGTAGAAAGCCATCGTTGGTTTCGATTTTATGCTCTTCAAATGGGTAACCATACTTTCTGATGAGACCAGGCTTTAAAAAAGTTACACACATCTCATTGTATTATATATTTTCTAGCCTCAACTGTATTTTAATTTGTTCTAATATTCAAGGGATTATTATATAAAACTCATTTGTAATTTCACTTACAGATGGTAGATGTGCATCTTCTAAAAAAGCCGCATCGCCGCATCTAGCAAGCACTAGATTGCCATGCAGGCATAGCCAGATCAGGCAGTAATAGAATCTAACCATGTTATAAGCTTAATGTTAAAAGCTCAATTTTACAAGCTAGAAGCAATAAGGTAGATCGTATTTTAACAAAAACAAATGAAAAATGTTGCGAATTTTACACAACTAAAAATTTCTAAGATTGTAATGAAATAACTTCCTGATTAACAATTCTCGTCTGCTCCAAGGTGCACTTAGAACTCATTTAAACAAGTCCATGGAATCAATTTCACTAAAATCCTTATGTTAAGTATGGCACACTAAGCCACATTAAATACATTTTACTATCAATTCATATCATAATTAGTCAATGTTTTACGAACCGTTAAATCACATTGGTTGCACATATAATTAATATATTTCGATTCTCTACTTTATCAAAGTGATTTTGTAGTTTCAGTTTGGTTTTATATCTTAAAATTTTCACTTTGAAAAATATGGTGCTCTTTGTATAACCGATTTATTTCTTTAGAATAAATAAAATCCGAGTTTTCTAATTCGAACTTAGCTCGACACGCAATCCGCACTCACTGATCTGTTAAGCAACTAAACAGCTTGACATAAGTAGCTATTTGTTGAATCCGACACAGCTTATTAACTGATCGATCCCAAAGCCAGTTGGGAACTAACTCGAATGCAATTTAGATGCATAAATCATACAATACGAATATTTTATATATATTTTTATGAATTTTATACAGATATAAACTTCAAAGATTATAATGAAAAAACTTCACGATTAACAATTCTGGTCTGCTCCAAGACGCAAGTAGAACTTATTTAACTAAAGTCTTACATTAACTAAGACGCACTTAACAATTCACTTCAAACTGTTAAGCCAGATTAAATACATATTAGTATCATTTAATGTCATAATTAGTCAACGTTTTACGAAGCGTTAAATCACATTCGTTACACATAAATTATACAGTTCGCTTCGGTACTTTATCAACTTGATTTTTTAGTTAATGTTTGGTTATATCTCTTAAAATATATGTTCCAAGTTCCAAGTCTCCATACAAAATGCGTTAAAGTTCACATAATCATCAATCATATCTTATTCTTATCCTGTTAATAAATCGAATTTTCATTTTGATCCTCGGTTACTTAAACTCACTTATATTTATATATTGCTCTTTCGTCATATTTTTGAACTGGTCTGTATTATTGAGTATCTTGTAAATGGTCTCCCAAAATTAAGGATTCAAATTGAAAATATAGTTTTTTGTAATACGAACTACGCTAACCCCTCACCCATAATCTTAGTTATTATTATTTTTAGTTTTATTTATTTATTTACATAAATATGTACATCTTCTAATTGAAATACTATTTCCAATTTTGATTTCATTAAAGCTCTCCCTCTTCGACCCTTTTCATCACACTGAACATGCTGTCATAAAGCAATTTTCTCACATCAATCGCAACTAGAAAATCAATATGATTGAATTTTTTGTAGGTCAATAGCTCATCATACACTACATTTGGCAACTCGTTGCGCAAGTGCTGCACATCCTTGACAGCGGCTAGTGGATCGTTTTTGCCATAATATAGAGCCACTTTGCAGTCGACGTTGCCCAACTTGTAGGCGGGTGGTTTAGCCGAGCCGTAAGCTCTCCGATTCTTAGCGACACTACGATAATTATACTTGAAGAAGCCTCCGCTGTTAATCTGCTGAGCATAGTGATCAAACGATTTGACAGAGGTACCAGCTGGAAAATGGCCAAGCAATTTGGGCAGCGCTATTCCACTCCACTGTTCATCATCCACACCAGCAATCTGCATTATAAAGTAAGTGCAGGTGTTGCGAAAAATAAAAGTGCAGTACTTATAAAGCAATTCTCTCCACACTTCATTCTCCGGCGGGAACTCATAGATGCCAACGAGATTAGCAAGTCGCTGCAAGAATTATATAAATAAATTATATGTAACTGCCATTTCTTATTGTATTATATATTTTCACAAGTTGAGGTAAGGTTTTTTTTCTAAATCAAGAATAAGTTACATAGTTCTAATTACCACAATGTCTCCTATGTGAGGCGCAAGAAATGTTCCCAATGACTGCTTCGTATACGCAAAATAGACGACTGGGGCAAGTCCTTGAAATAGTTTGATCTTCTTCATATACGCTGGTCGCTCGGCGCCCATCACAAAGAACGCGGTGGTGCCTTGGGAGTGACCGACGTAATGCAGCTTCCTATAGCCCCCACTTCGATTCAATATATAGTCAATGGTGGCGGGCAGATCATAAATGCCAATCTCATGGAACGAAAAGTCCCAGAACTGACGTTGCAACGGATGATATATGATATGCTTTCGCGAATAACGATTGCCACGTACGTTAAGCATCCAAACATCGTAGCCCCGATCACTGAGCAGATAGGCCAATGCCTTGCCTGGACCACTTAGCACCCAAGACGCAGAGCTATCCTGCAGTCCATGGACCAGTAGCACAGGCTGTGCTCCCCGTTTGGGTATCCGATGTGCCGTCAGTCTAAAACCATCCTTGGTATCGATTTTATGCTCTTCAAATGGGTAACCATATTTTTTTATGAGACCAGGCTTTAAAGAATTTTCACACAACGCATTGTATTATATATTTTAGAGCTGAATTATTATTTTTGATAATATTCAAAGTAATATTATATACAGCTCAAATATAATTTCACTTACAGTTCGTAGATGTGCATCTTCTAGAACAGCCGGATCGTTCTTGACAATATTAGCAAACACTAGATTGGCATAGAGGCATAGCCAGATCAGGCAGTAATTGAATCTAAACATTGCGTAAACTTAATGATGCTAATAAATTGCTAACAACTATCGTTGGCGTTTCTATGCATATATTTCCACCTATTTCCACATAACCTGGCCTGACTAGCCCAATGAAAAACAAGCTAGAAGCAAAAAATTAGATCGTATTTTAATTACCATGTTAGATATCAAGTTGAAGTGAACTTGACAATGAATCAAAATTGCCCTGTTTTTAATAATTTAATTGAGTGTTCAATACTGTTTACCAAGGCAATACTCATGAATTTTTATTTATGTACTAATACAAATGAATTGATAAAAAATATAGGAACTTAAGTAAAATGTAAACAAAACATATATTCAAAGAAAGTCGTTCACAAAAATATACTAAAACAAATGAAAAATGTTGTGAATTTTACACAGCTAAGAATTTCTAAGATTGTAATGAAAGAACTTCCGAAGGAAAAAACTCCGAGGTGCAATTAGAACTCATTTAAACAAGTCCATGGAATCATTTTCACTAAAATCATTACGAAGACACACTTAATGATTTACTTAAAACTGTTAAGCCACATTAAATAGATATTACTATCAATTAATATCATAATTAGTCAATGTTTTACGAACCGTTAAATCACATTCGTTGCACATAAAATTAATATATTTCGATTCTCTACTTTATCAAAGTGATTTTGTAGTTTCAGTTTGGTTTTATATCTTAAAATTTGAAAAATATGATGCTCTTTATATAACCGATTTATTTCTTTAGAATAAATAATATCCGAGTTTTCTAATTCGAACTTAGCTCGACACGCAATCCGCACTCACTGATCTGTTAAGCAACTAAACAGCTTGACATAAGTAGCTATTTGTTGAATCCGACACAGCTTATTAACTGATCGATCCCAATGCCAGTTGGGAACTAACTCGAATGCAATTTTGATTTTAATTAAATCATGCAACACGAGAGAACATTGAGAGAAAACGGGCGAGAACCGACTGCGGAATACTTTGATAATAGTGTAATTGGTGTCAAACATCTTCCTATATAATCAATTGCATCTTTATTTTTGGAATTATCAGCTTAGACGATAGATGAAAGTTTTCGTTACCAAAATTCGGAAGAGACGATTGAAATCCATCTACCAAATTTGGTGTTCGTCAATTTTTTCCGCTCTGCACCGATTATAAACATATCAAATTTTGCTCAAAAACTTAAAAAATATACGCACTCCAATTTTTGAGTCAGTTTTTTACCGAAGGGTGTAAACAGCAATGATTCTTTTTGAACGGATAAATGGCTTTATCGGAGTATATATAAAAGTAGCTGGGTTTCCAAGATTTTATAAAACCAAATTAATGCTGGAATCTCATTTCAAACACAGCAAATCTAGACAGGGTCAAATAAGCTATGCCTTTGTAGTTAATAAACTGTCAATGTAAAAAAACACGATTTTGTATCCAATAGTATGCACATTGTTTTATAAATACGTAATAATATTTTATAAATGCAAATGCATAAGCAACTCACTCATAGTAGTATTGCACTTAAGCTAACAATTATTATTCAAGACGAAAGTATACAGTACTCAAAGTTATTCTTCTTTTCAAATTTCCGTTTCAATGTTTTCGACTCTCCAATCCCCGTGAACCTTGGATCCAGTGGAACACCTATTGTATCCAGAGATCGGTGTTCAGCTTATTTAGCAGAAAACCTAAAAAGAGGGATACCGACACTCAACACACCTAAACTCTTATCGGGAAAATGTTTACTAAATGCTTTTTCTGTTAACATAACTTTCGAACGAAATATCATTATTAAACATTGGTCTAAAACTTATCAGATTTAGTCCTGTATACAAGGGTAATTGAACGCCGACTTATCCAAGATAAGCATTTTTCTTTTTATCAACTACAAATTTTGTAGTACAATTTTTAAGTAATAAGCACTCTGATTTATTATTCTATGTATAGTAATTAATAAACATTTAGCATAAATACTTGACAAAGCGATTACAACTTAAAAAAAAACGTATATTAATCAGTTTGAAGTATCAATAGTATTATCAGTATCATGCAAGCGCATATTCTCAATCATGCGATCCCAGACCAGCTCCCGAGCATCCATACCCCAAATGAAGTCCACATGATTAAACTCCGGATAGTCAACCAGGTAATGCGAGACGACATTGGGCAGTCTGTGGCGCAACGCTTCCACATCTGTCGGCTGTGCTAGCCAATCGTTTTGGCTATAATACATGGCGACCTTGGCCTCAACATTCTCCAGCTTATACTCGGGAGGGCTGAAACTGTTGTAACGCCAATAATTCCTCAGACTGCCATAGTCGAACTGACGAAAGTCGCCCGATTTGCGCACCTGGCCATAGTGTTGCATCTGCTTGGTGGCAGCACCAGCTGGGACATGCCCCACCACAACGGGCAGCATAGTCTCATTCAGCTGCGATTTATCAAAGCCTGCAGTCTGGAAAATCACATTCGAGCAGACCTCTTTTGTTGTGGTCGACTCGTCGCAAATCAGCTGATTGAACATCACTATGAACTTATTTTTGGGCAAAAATTCATTAGCGCCTATCAGCTTGAGCACAATCTGTAAGTGAGTCAAGGGTCAACTATGTAACTCAGTAACATATATGAAAATCGCATAGAAGTACTTACACTAACCGACCGTTGAAAATTAGCCAGGAAATTGACGACAGGACTCTTGCAGTACTTTAAATAGGCAACCGGGGCCAGAGCCTGCATGAATATGATCTTATCCATATACTCGGGTCGCTCACTGCCCATTATCCAGAAGACAACGGTGCCCTGTGAGTGCCCAACATAATGCAGCTGTTGGAAATCCGTTTTGTTGAGTATATAATCGATTGTTTTCGGTATATCGTATATGCCCATTTCGTGAAACGTGAAATCCCAGAACTTGGCATTGTTATGCGTATACTTGATGTGCTTCCTGGAATACGTATTTCCACGCACATTGGCCATCCACACATCGTAGCCCTGCTCATAGAGCAAGTATCCTTTACAAAGAGGTAAACTTTTAAATGAGCCTTATCTGATTTTGCAATGAAATTGTAGTACATACCTAGACCCTTGTTGGGACCCATCATTACCCACGTGGCTGAGCTATCCAATAGACCGTGGACTAGCAGAACGGGAGTTGCTCCAGTTCGCGCAATCCTGTGAAGGGTGAGTATATAACCATCGTCTGTTGTCACCGTATGATTCTCCGCTGGATAACCGTATTTATGAATTAGATTATACTGTAGGTGGAACAAAATGGGTTTTGCAAATGAGAAAGAAGAGCAATTATATTATAGAAATACATTATAGTAATTTAAAAATAACCAATTAAATGTATCAAATGAGGACATATTTTTGTGTATTCATTCAACGCATATTTGACAGGAATAAATATGTTTAACTCTAACCTTAGATAAGTAAACAATTAAATGAAATATATTTTATTAAAGGTTCATCGTCAATACGTTTCTGAATTATGACTTCATTATATGAGAATCAATTTTCCCCATCACGCAAATTTATTTCACAAGAAAAAAAATACAGCTTTAAGCTTTGGCATACTGAGTCATTAAAAAAGACATTAAAAAATATATATTTGTGTATATTTTCACTGATAAGAAATTATAAATGTGGATAATGTTTGTAATCTAACGAATTTTTCAAATAATGCATTACAAAAAATGTCTAAATTTTAGTTTTTAAAAAAATTAAACAGATAAATAAAGGATAAGGCATAAATTGCAAAAATTTGGACCTTCTGTTTCGAATTTTTAAAACAAAAGGTACCTTAATCTGCATCCATATATTTTTAAAAAATTTGCTGAAGGCCACAGTTGCCATGGTAGAGCCCCCTTAAGATAAATTCAGTTTCTAACTGAAACTTTGTTGTAATTTTAATTTATATTTTAATATTTTAGTAACAATATTACTAATGTAAGATTTTTGAGGAATAAATAACATTTTTTTTTTTCATTTTAATTGTATACGAATGTCATATAAAAATATATTTTTTAATATTTCTCACTTACTGTACTCATGTGTGAGTCCTCATGAACATTGGGTTCAACCTCAGAATCAATACGCAAATTGCTCTGCAGAGATATGGAGCGACCAAGCCACTTGGGAGACTTTAAGTTCACATTGAAAAGCGAAATATTTCCAAACGGAAATGATAAATCCGCATTGCTTTCCAGTGGAACAAGACAAAGGCACAGAGTAAAAAGCAGTAGCTGCCTCAAGCGAAAATTTAATGACATTTTTAGTACTAGTATAGGGTGTACTGGAGTTTACTGGGAGTGTATGATTTCTGTATATTAATTGTGATCGCTGCGACGGACAAATGCTGACTGGCGATGCGTTGATTGGGCTGCGAGAATGTATATGGCAGTATGCTGATTACGACTTGCTTTCGTTGTCGTCTGTGTGTAGTTTAGTTCATTCAATTCACTTTAATTAATAAAAAAAAAACCGATGACCGAATGGTAGACTCAGATTACGCATCGCTGATCAATTTTGAATTCCTTCAAATTACTTATAGTTCACATAATCACCAATAGGTGTGTCTTATCCTTATCGATTACATTACTAAAATGTTCTTGAGTAGGTTTGTGTTATTGAGTATCTTATATATGGTCTCCTAAAACTAATCAGTCATACTAATTTTCCAGTTCCCATGTTCTAATTTTGCTCTTCAAAGTCGTAACACGAACTATACTAACCATAACCCATTCGAATCATATATTTCAGCAATAATGATCATTTTCCCTCAATAAGTAGAGCCACTTCCATTAAGACTGTAAGTCTTTTATATAATTATTAATTATTAGATAAGTATTTTCAAATTAAAATGTAGTATGGATATTACAAATTACAAATTTCATAGCGAAATTATAAAGCCCTTTGCGGGGGATACATCAATTATTATCACATGGACTTAAGAATATTCTAAGATTTTAGTAAATAATAAATATTTTATCCATAAATGGCCTATCGATTACACCGAGCTTATACTGTAAGTATAGAACTTAAGCCTATAACAAATACTTATATTATTCAGTTGGAAGTATCAATAGTATTATCAGTATCATGCAAGCGCATATTCTCAATCATGCGATCCCAGAGCAGCTCCCGAGCATCCACACCCCAAATGAAGTCCAGATGATTGAACTCCGGATAGTCAACCAAGTAATGCGATACCACATTGGGCAGTCTGCGGCGCAGCGCTTCCACATCTGTCGGCTGTGCTAGCCAATCGTTTTGGCTATAATACATGGCGACCTTGGCCTTAACATTCTCCAGCTTATACTCCGGGGGGGTGAGACTGTTGTAACGCCAGTGATTCCTCAGCCAGCCATAGTCAAACTGACGAAAGTCTCCCGATCTGCGCACCTGGGCAAAGTGTTGCATCTGCTTGGTGGAAGCCCCAGCTGGGGCATGCCCCACCACAACGGGCAGCATTGTCTCATTCAGCTGCAACTTATCAAAGCCAGTAGTCAGGAAAATCACATTCGAGCAGACCTCTTTTGTTGTGGTCGACTCGTCGCAAATCAGCTGATTGAACATCACTATGAACTCATTTTTGGGCAAAAATTCATGAACGCCTATCAGCTTGAGCACAATCTGTAAGTGAGTCAAGGGTCAACCAAGTAACATTTATGAGAATCGCATAGAAGTACTCACACTAACCGGCAGTTGAAACTCGGCCAGGAAATTGACGACAGGACTCTTGCAGTGCTTTAAATAGGCAACCGGGGCCAGAGCCTGCATGAATATGATCTTATCCATATACTCGGGTCGCTCACTGCCCATTATCCAGAAGACAACGGTGCCCTGTGAGTGCCCAACATAATGCAGCTGTTGGAAATCCGTTTTGTTGAGTATATAATCGATTGTTTTCGGTATATCGTATACGCCCATTTCGTGAAACGTGAAATCCCAGAACTTGGCATGGTTATGCGTATACTTGATGTGCTTCCTGGAATACGTATTTCCACGCACATTGGCCATCCACACATCGTAGCCCTGCTCATAGAGCAAGTATCCTTTACAAAGTGAGAAACTTAAAATAAACTATATCTGATTTTGTAATGAATTTGTGTACATACCTAGACCCTTGTTGGGACCCATCATTACCCACGTGGCTGAGCTATCCAATAGACCGTGTACTAGCAGAACAGGAGTTGCTCCAGGTCGCGCAATCCTGTGAAGGGTGAGTATATAACCATCGTCTGTTGTCACCGTATGATTCTCCGCTGGATAACCGTATTTATGAATTAGAGAATACTGTAGGTGGAACAAAATGGGTTTAGTAAATGATAAATAAGAGCAATTAAATTATATAAATAATTTACACTTTATCTTAATTAAACAATAGTAATAATTTTGCAAACAATACGTTAAATATACTAAAAATTATTAATGTATCAAAAATGGAACCTCTTTTTTATTGATTTAACACATATATTAAGCAGAAATAAATTTACTAAAATCAATCTGATTCTTAATGCATATATATATTGTTACATTCATTTAAGCCCTAAGTAAATTACAAATTAAATAAAATATATTATATTTAAGTTTCATTGTCAACACGAACTATTCAACAACAATTGCTTTTTATTTATCACATAATTATATGACAATCAATTTTTCACATACCGCATATGAAAACAAATGAAGCTTTAAGCTTTTGCATTCTACTCAGTAAATAATATTTTAATATATATGTTTGTGAATTTACAAGCAAAAAATAATATGTGCATTGATAATTATTCATAAATGGGAATAATGTCAACCAGAATTGAAAACTTTAATTTTTCTAAGTGTTCTAGTTTTTCTAATAATGTATTACAAAAATGCAAATATAATATTTAAAAACTGTTTAACATGAACTTTTATTTTAAATTTCTTACTGTGTTTAAGTGTGAATCCTCCTGAATATTGGGATCGACTTCAGTGTCAATACGCAAATTGCTCTGCACAGATATGGAGCGACCAAGCCACTTGGGAGACTTGAAGTTCACATTGAAAAGCGTAATATTTCCAAGCAGAAATGATAAATCCGCATTGCTCTCCAGTGGAACAAGACAAAGGCATAGAGTAAAAAGCAGTAGCTGCCTCAAGCGCAAATTTAATGACATTTTTAGTAGTAGTATAGGTTATATAGTACTGGGAGAGTATTTCTGTCTATTAATTGTGATCGCTGCGACGGGCAAACGCTGACTGGCGATGCGTTGATTGGGCTGCGAGAATGAAACTTTGTCACGTTATTTGAAACTGTGGAACATATTCGAGTATGCTGATTACGGCTTGTTTTCGTTGTCGTATATGTATGTTATACATTCAGTGCAATTGAATCACCGAAACGCTCAACAAAAACGAAAACTACCAATATTGGTCAAGTGCAATGATAACCCCCGGCAATGCCTTCGTCATCGACTGATAAGCAATTGGGTCCGGCATTAGATTATGCTCTTGAGCTGCTTATGGAAATACTATTTGTAGTCTTGACTTTGAATTGGTTTACGCACGAGACAATTTAGGCGGTTTATCTACAAACGGAGCTCCGGGTCCTGAACTCCGAGCTCTTCAATCAATGGAACCCAATTCGCAACTGCGTCATTCAAACAGAGGCCTACAATTTACCCAGCAACTTGTCCAATGTTGCCAGGCCAATTGACAAGCGTGTAGCCATAATAAATAAACAGATTTAACTAGCTACCTCTGTTTGCACTCTCGCCTATAATTTTATATAAAAATCCACAAATAGTTTGTTTATTTGTTTTACTACGAATTGGTTGCCAGTGTGATTCGCTCCGACGACAATTGCTGACTGAACTCGCAGTTTCTGTATTCGTGCCTCGAATTGAACTTTGCCTGGGCACTAATATAACCATTAATTACTTGTTTCCTATCACAATCGCACACAAACAACCAGTCCCAAAAAAAAAAAAATCATCTATAAGATATATTAACTTGAAACTCGAATCTATCGTAGCGACTGATGATTGTTGTCTTTTTTATTTTTTTTATTTCATATAGCTATCATTATCCATTAGCATATTGAGCTCGACGTCATAGTTATGACGTTGGCCCTGCGGCTATCAGTGCTCTCAAGACTGGTTTCCAAAACCTGACCTAATAATCGTTTTATGTGTTTTGGAATCTTCATTTTTAGGTTTGTTTGAATGGCGATAAGGCATTGAATTATTTTCTCGTCTCTATTTTAGTTTGTTGTGAACACAAAGTCCACATTTAACACAATTCATATGTGCTCAAATAATTGCAAAAACAAAGAGAAATTCAATATTTATAAAGTAAGTTCTTGTTGATCTCTGAATGCACTACAATGTCAATGTAAATTCTAAATAAATATTATTAATCAACGTTTATTAATCTTAATCAACTTAAATAAATTTGAACTCAATTAGGTATAGTCAAATTCAATAATAAATTTAAAGTTAGGTTTATCATCTTAATAATATGAAAATAATAAGGTGCTCTTTTAATTATAAGTGCTCATTTTTCATACATAAATTATAAACCTTAGGCAAACTGCTCACAGTAGTAAAGAGTAAGTTCCTGATAATGGAATTATGTGATGTTTTATTTTTAGAATACGATCAACTGAACTAGTACTTAAGAAGTCACGATATATAATTGATGATTAATTATGAATCATAGTTATATAACCTTAAATACATAAAGTTACTTTTTGCTTAATAAACACAAAAAAAAAACACAACTCAATCTAAATAAATTGCGAGTGAATCACAAAAAAAAAAAAAGATGAAAAACCTGATTAACTTTATAATGTCAAAGTACAATTAAGTCTAGTCATAATGCTTATGCGATTATTGTTTTTCAATTGATCACAAATTGATGATAATTTAGTAACAAACTATCAGAGAATTTGATTTGAGAGCTTTCAATGAACCACACTAAATTTAAATTTGTCTATTTACAGCACTCAACTGAATATTAATTTACGCTCAACATATTCGATGAGAGCGAGGGAATTAAATGAGACTCCCAAAACATTGCTGAGTGTCTGCTTATCGAAGTGAATACACACACACACTCACGCATACATAGTTGGGTGTTATTCAATTATGAAATGTAGCTGATTTTGAATTTATGCAGCACACAGCTACTCAGCTGCCCCAATACTAGCCGAGTATCCCACAGATACACAGCAATAAAATGCAAATATCTGACAAGACAATGTGCAGTTCATTAACTCAAGCAGCACATAAATTTATGCTTATTGTTGGTTGTTATTGTTATGCTTCCACTCGGGTTCTGTTTCCAGTCCACCATGCAATGTCAGACCTATTTTATATGCATACATATATAAATGTATATACAAATTTAAATACCCATTATAAATTCTCAAACATTTTCGATTTGCAATTCAAAATCAAAATGTTGCCAAGTCAAAATGTGGCATATCTTGACGAACTTTAAATATGTTTCTAAATTGAAGGTTTAATATTAGTGATATTTATTCCATTCAATTCTTTGCAACACTCGGCTTATTTATCTCATATCATTTTCGATATCATTTTCAATTTAGACGTTGTCAGCATCGAAATGTGGGAAACAAATATATTTATTGCTATGGCAACATGTTGCTGAATTCAAATGTTATTAAGGCAAATTTGCCACTAATTTTGAACACAATTTTAGAGCGAAATTTACTTTGTTTTACCACATTTTAAATTGGTGTCCCTTTCGCGCTATTTACAGTGTGGTTGGACATATGAATTTTCAAAAACTGGCGAACAAATCAAAGCGCAGGGAAAGCCACTTGAAATCATGACATTTTGCATTTTTAAATTGGCTCATGGGATTGACGGGCAGCAGTTTGCCGCGAACCACAAACAATTGTTGGCAAATAGAGTTCATTGGAATGTTGTAATGTTAAGTCCGACAAACAAATGCAACTAGAAATACTTAAGAGGAATTGACTTAGTTACAAAGTTTTTGTTTTTGTTGACAAACTGCAAGTTGAGTTGAGAGTAACAGTGGAAGATTATATCACCGATATTTGACTTCGAAAAAGTATTGTCTTTGGCATTTTATTTGTCAATAAAAGTTTAAGAAATGGATTCAAAACTTGCCCAGTTTATCAAATAGTTCAAACGGCTTTTTGACCTGGTTTAACAAAAGTTCAACTAGCTTATTTATTTAAGTTGCCAAACTTTTCGCTCCTTTCGGCAACAGATATCTGCAAAATGCAGTTGATGGGATTTTCAAATTTAACCAAAAATATACATTTGCGAAAATTTTGTGTTTTCTATAAATTGTTTGTTAATTCTTCAACTGGAGATTGGCTGCATAGATGCTTGAGGGACTTAAGGTAGATTGAGTGCTTTGAAAGAGGTATGGGGTGGAGTAACATCTGCCTGTTTATTAACCTTTTTTTTAGTTACATTTATTGCCCTTAAACATTTCATTTCAGTTTTGAGTGTATTTTTCTTTTTGTCCTGCATATGGACTGAAATATAGAAAGTTCTCATTGAAAAGTGAAGTCAAAAAATCTATAACAACATCGAAATCGTTACATTAAAACTCCACAATAGCTGATATGCCGCAGCTGTCAGATAATCGGTTGAACCCTTCAACAATGCAACATCTGCGCCTATTTACACAAATAATTAACTGTCAACTGCAGAAGCTGAGCAGAAAAAATTGAATTTGCCTCCTGCCCACCAAGCGACGCACCTCAAGTCCTCAAAACGATCACAACACACAAATAATACATTTTCCCTACCAACACACATACACACACGCACACACAATTATAGGCAATTTTTACAGGCACTACAAGAAATGTGAAAAATGAAAAATATAAATAAAAATGTTTTTGAAGAGGGGCTGTAAAAAATGTGCGAGAAAAATGATTTTTGCACGCCTCGGCGACGTTGACACCGGGTGGACAAGGACAGGGGAAGGCCACATGGTGAACGGTGACGGAATAGCGGAGTGACGACTACAGCTGCCAGTGTCATTAACTCGACAAACCGCTCGACAGCATCGCAATGCGAGTTATGCGTGTAAGTGGAGCGGAAGAGGACGACGGAGAACAGCGCGCAAAAAAAAAAAGCAACAACAACTTAATGTTAAGGCATTCGTTATGTCAACAAGCAACAATGAGCGACAGCCAAATCGAGAGGAGAGCGGCAAGCAGTCGGCGGGAATCCCGTTATGCGCATTACATCACCCGTTTTGAGATGTATTTTTTTGTGTGTTGTGTTTGTATTTGTAATTGCAGGAGTCATAAGTCGCCTAACGACAAAGTTACCGCTTCAGAGCTCAACTGGCGCTCTCTCTCTCTCTCTCTCTCCATTTTTAATGAAGTGCAGCTTCTGCAGAGCTCTCACTCTCTCTCGTTCTGGAGTGGAACGACAAATGTTTATTGTCGCTAAGCACTTTGAGCCGCGGGTGTGAAAGGGAGCGCATAGTTCTGCATGCTTTTGTGCTTTGTGGCACGTTTCGGCTTTGGCTTGCTGCACGTCTGGCTCCCTCGCGCTCTCTAAAAGGTATTCAAATTGTATGCTCGGCTGAATTTGAAGTGGCAAATACGTTAATTGGGCATCAAATGTAACAACGGGTATTTTTTTTATATTCTTTCATTTTTTGCTTTGAGTTAAGCAATATAATTTTTTTTATTAGAACGCTTTTTGCATTTAATGTCACAGTGGTTTTTTCTTCTTTTTGCATGAGTACCCAAAATTTTATATTTATTTTCTTGTAGTTAAAAAAAAAATATTTTACTGACTTTTTTATTTACGAATACATTATTTGGGCATTAAATGTAAAAGCTGTATTTCTGTATCCTTTTTCGCAGTTCGATAGAATGTTCGCATTGTGTCAATGTATCAACGTGCTGCATGATTCTTGTAACCTGAACCCTCTTTATACAGTAACCACACATATATATATACACACACACACACAACACACACACACACACGTACGAGTATCAATTTCAAGAGATTTATGCGCTCAGCAAAGAGGCTATAAAATATTTATTGTTTTATGTTGCTTGCTGGCAATGATAAGCAGCCGATAAGACCAAGGGGCAATAGAAGGCAGAATCAACAGCTGCTCACAGGATACGCGGCGCACACAGGATATACACCAGGTACTGCGGTATACGGATATGCGAAAAGGATATCACGGCACAGGGGAACATAAATGTTACATGAAATATATTATCTCGAACTAAGAATTTATTTTCATGGCAAATTTAAATACTACATTGGAAACGTTGCTAAGAACATACCAACATTTTTCAACTGGAACAAAATGAAACTACATTTTCTGCTCTTAGGTCATCCATTCAGATACGCAATTGATTCTTGCTGTGTGCTCTGTGAAAAATTCAATTGGCATCACCTGCTGATGCTCATAAACTTGGGGCTGCTGCAGAGTTTGGCATTTGCTTGAATGTGATTATTGATTTAATTACACATCAAAGTGATGGCAAAGGAAAACAAAGACAAAGATATTGCAGGAGTCTAAAGAAAGCGGAGGAGGCTGTAGGGGGTGAGTAGGAGGAGAGTTGAGTCTCTGACAGTGGCTGCTGCGTCAACGTAATAAAATGCTAATGAATTAATTCTCGCCAAGAACTTTGTAATAAAGTGAAAATTCCAGCTGGCAGA